TTTTTTTTTTTTTTTTTTTTTTTTTTTTTCTTTTCTCCTTCTCTATTCTTAATTATAAAATCTCCCTCTCCATTTGAATACCGTCTCTTATCCCATTTAAAAGTGTGGAAGATAGCACTTTAAAATCGTAAAGTTAGACTATATGTAACGAGCCAAAACGGATATTATCTGGTAGTGTAGGTTTGAGTTGTTACAAATAGTATCAAAGCTAGACACCAGATGGTGTGAGACATTGGTCGGAGTAAGGCTAAGCTTTATCCATAATAGACGTGTTAAAAAACCGTGAGGTTGATGACGATACGTAATTGGCCAAACTGGACAATATTTACTAGCGATGAGTTTGAGTTGTTACAAATGGTATCAGAGCAAGGCACTAAACAGTGTGTCAACAAGGATGCTGGACCCGAAGGAAGGTAAATTGTAAGATCCTACATTTGTTGGAGAAGGGAACAAAACACCCTTTATAAAGGTGTGAAAACTTCTACTTAGTACACACATTTTAAAATCGTAAGACTGAGGACGATATGTAACGGGTCAGAGGGAACAATATTTGTTAGCTGTGGCCTTAGGTTATTACAAATGACATTAGAGGCTGACACCTGGGGATGTGGCAAACACCAGGCGATGTGGCAGCGAGGAGGATATTAAGCCCTCAAGAAGGCTGGATCGTGAGATCTCATATTAGTTGGAGAAGAGGAATGAAATACCCTTTATAAATGTGCGAAAATCTCTCTCTAGTAGACGTATTTTAAAACCGTGAAGCAGACAATAATGATGTGAATTTGGATGGTTAGAATTGCAATGCATTCAGCATTCACCATGGAGATGGAGTGATAAAGTAAAGGAAATGGAGGTTGATGAATGAGAACATAAAGGCATGCACTATTGAAGTCAAAGGATGACTGTAGCGCCAGGTGAGTGCTTGGACTGCTCAATCTCAATACCAATGAATCTAATAAGAACACCAATGAATCTAATAAGAACAAAACAGAGATACAATACAAGCTTCCCATTATTCCTTAATTATCTCATCTTATCCCTCCACCATCGGTGGCCAAAACAACCACCTTTTCCTATCTTCAACCCTATATTTCAAAGTCTTCTTCAACTTTCAATAATAATAATAAAAAGTAAAACTATTTGTTTGTTGTGGAATTAGATAGATATGATTGAGATTGAGATACTAAGTAGTATTCTTATTGGTATATGTTTAGGGTGTTCCAACAATTTGTTGCACGTTTTGGTTCTAAAGGAGGAGGCCTCATCAATGCCATCCTAACATACCATTTTTTGAGTTATTGCCCAAAGTGAAGCAGAGGTAAGTGTGTCCATTTGGGCTCAAAACCAAATGAAATGAGCGAGATTGAAAAAGGGTTGGGTGACAGCATTATGGGCAAATGAAATGACTGGTGGTTGGTGTTTGAATCAAAAGGGAATGGGCAGTTTAATTGGAGATTGCTTAAAAAGCTTATGCCAATCACTCGGAGGATTGCGGCCTTGGCTAACACTTCAAGCCTAACCCCACAAACAAAAAAGCTCTCTCCTTTGTGCTCCCCTCTCACTGCCTTGCACTATTGTACTTTCCTGATGCTGCCTAATCCTAAACCATATACCAGAAAGGAGAAGGAAGGGTCATTGAGGTACTCATCTTGAACCCAAATATGTTTACATAACATACCCTACCCTATCCTACCCTCTGTTAAGAGATATTGTTTTTTTTTGTGCTTTCTCTTTTCGACTTCTCTTCAAGATTTCCGAGCTCCCCTCAAGACTTTTAAAACACGTTTGTTAGAAAGAGGTTTCTACACTCTTATAACGCGTATGTTACTGTTTTCCACACCCTTATAAGAGATGCTTTGTTTCCCTCTCCAACCGATATGGGATCTCACAATTCGCTCCCTTTTGGGCCAGTGTCCTCGATGGTACACCTTCCCCCGATTTATGGCTCTGATACTATTTGTAACAGCCCAAGTCCATTGCTAAAAGATATCGTTCTTCTTAGGCTTTCCCTTCAAGGTTTTAAAACACGTAGTGAGAGGTTTCCACACCTCTTACAAGAAATGTTTCGTTCTCTTCACCAGCTAATGTGGGATTTTACAATCTACCCCTTGGGGGTCAACGTTCCAGCTGACATACTGCCTTGTCTGGCTCTGATACCATTTGTAATAGTCTAAACTCACAATTAGCAAGTATTATCTGTTATGACCTATTGCGTATCGCTATCAGCCTCACGATTTTAAAAATGCACATGTTAGGATGAGGTATTCACAATTTTGTAAAGAATGCTTACTTCCCTAATAATAAATACGTTTGGAGAAAAAAAAAAGAAAAAAAAAAAAGAAAACGTATCAGTGGAGGAAATACGTTTGGAGAGTACCGTAACTTTTAACTCGCGCCACGCACTTCTAAAACTGTGGTATTGGGTAAACGGGTTATTACCGTGAACTCGTTCGCTTCCAATTAACCACCACAACACTTTCCCAAGAGCAAATTAAGACTGGGGAGCTTGAAAAGGAACTTCCGCTCCCCGCCGCATCGCGTCTCTCCTATTCCGGTGTATTCCCGCGCCATTTTCAGCGTTTAGTTATTCTAGTCAGTGATACAGTGTTGAGGTTCAGTTATTTCTGCACTCGATTGTTGTTTTCTGTGATTTCTTATGCATTATTCTAAGAGAGTTGATTGCATCCGCTGTTCTACGAATGTAACACTCGATTGTTGTTTTCTGTGATTTCTTATGCATTATTCGAAGAAACTTGATTGCATCCGCTGTTCAACGAATGTAAGAGATGAACCGGCAGTTCGAATTTAATTTGTCATCTTCATCGTGTTATGTTGTCTGTGCTTCTAGTTGGAGTGTATTCAGACATAGGCCGTTTTTCTTTATTCCATGACGATTATTCCGATTCAAATATTTTGCGCTTCTTTTTCTTCCCTTGCATCGAAGCATTCGTGATTCTAAGAACGCCGAACAGTAGAACCATTGTTACGAATTGGACGTTTGTTAAGCGGTTAATTCTACGCCATTTTCGCCCTTCAGCCTTAGTTCCATTGCATCGCTTTGTTCTTGCGCTTCGTTTCTATAATCCTTCGGTTTCTTGGAACTCGAGAACGTTTTACAGCGCTAAAACGAACTGAATCAAGCTATTAGAGTTCCGGTTAGATCAAGTCATTCGGTAATTAGTGTAATCTTCTGCTATTTAGTTATTTCATTGTTTTCCTGAACTCTTGTTCAAGCTCTATTAATATTGAGCTCTCCGAGGGAATAATTCATTCAAGATCATCTTCTCTCGATTTTTTTGTAAAACAAGCAAATCCAGAATTGACGAAAGAATTTCAAAACCACCAGATTGTCCTTGCTTCTTCATCTTTTAATATTTTTCACTTCCATCACTTACTCCTGAACAACTATTTCTGACTAACTTCAATTTTCTAGTTATTGACGTTTCTTTGTCTTCGTTTCACGATAAAATTGAATAGGCATAGATCTTACCTTCAATTTCTTGCTTGAACGTTATCTTCTTTCTAACTTGTTTTCCTTTATTTCTGGCATGGAGCTCATTTTTCGTATTCAATTCTTTTTTTTCCTTGTCGTTTTTTTAGTTCTCCGTTGTTGTTTCATATTGTTCCTGGTCTTGCTAGTCCTTGACGGATAATGCTTGAAGATTTAACTATATTGCTTGGAATTTGTTATACTACTTTCTTGTGCTTGTTAGGCAGATTTGTATGATACATTGTTGGCCCCTGAATTTCTAGTTTGAGGCATTGTATTGGTATTTGACATTATAGGCCTGCTAAAAGGAAAGGCTAACACTGTTACGCATTGCTTAGGCCAAGCATGTCTCTTGTTAAGCACTAGCTTTCTTATTTGGTTAAGGAAGAAATATATCACTATTATGAGACTTTTTTTTTTGAGAAATCAAAACTAAAACCACGAGAGTTTATGATCAACGTAAACAATATCATATTATTGTAGAGGTTTGTGGTTCCTAACAGATTTTATCAAAATATTTTGCCTCTTTCATTGCCTTACAAGGGAATAAAACCAAGTATGTGTAATTCTATTGTTGTGAAATCCCACATCAGTTGGACAGATTAGAGAGAAAAACATTAAGAGGGAAATGGAACATTTCTTATAAAAATGTAGAAGACCCCATATCGGTTGAAGAAGTTGGAGAGAGGAACGAAACATTTCTTATAATGAAAGTTTTAAAGCTGGAATCTGACGACGATATATAATGAGCCAAAACAGATGGGGTTGGGTTGTTACAATTATGCACAATATGAAAATAGAAGCTAACTGTTCGACATTTTAATCTGAAAATGATCTAGATTAATTTGGTATTTCATTTAGCTAAATATTCTCTAGTCCTTTGCTTTGAGAAGCTGGATCAAAGATAGCTCGGAAGTCCATAAATACTCCGGTGATTGATTAATTTTGGTATCTTCAGCGTGTGCTACTCATATGATACCGGTGTTGAGGTATGTTGGGAGGCATGCTAGAATCTTCCGAAGTGAGAACAGCTGAAATAATGCCTTCTGAATACAGATTCAGTACAACTAATTGCTGTATTTTGCTGCTTTGGATCTCTTTGAGTAACCAAATTTAAGGGAGACATTCATTTCACTTAAAGGGAACCAGAAACGTTTGAGGTGGTCAGAAGAAAGGTGTTGTAAAACTAAGACTACCTCATGTTAACTGGGATGTTTGACTCTGTTTGTAAAAGTACTTCTGCCCCTGTATGTTTGGCTCAGATATGAATCCACGGAGTTATGTGGATTTTTATTAGCGACTCTCCGAGTTCCAATCGGCTGACATGATTGCAAGATTGATTTGATAATTGAATTGATCAGATTCACCTGCTGCCATTACTAGCTAGTGATTATCAGATTGAGTTTGATCCCCCATTTCACTGACAGTCAATAGAGGAATGAAGTCATAAACTCGGGATAGTACAGTTATTTCTTCTCTCTTCATACAACGTTGTTTGTGTTATTAACCACAGATCTACATTAGAAGAATGCACGCGAACAGTTACCAAAAAGAAGTGCTTGGTGGAAGTTACCAAGCTCTTCGATTCAATGGAACTAACAAGTTTAAAGCCATCAAACTGAAAGCAAATCAGCGGATGTTGCTGGATTTGGTTCTGCTGGGCTTCAATCATCATCTTTAAATTCTCTGTTCAAAGGGAAATGTAAACACTCGTCAACTTCTATGATGGTCTCGACGGCTGGATTTTCAGGTGAGTTCTGAGCATCAGAGGAAGAAAAATGAAGCAAAAGATGCGTAAAAGAAAACATGCCTGCGATCTAGGTATCGAGGTTGAATTCCTGAGCCCTGACATGTAGTGCACGTCAATGTGCCAACACCATCACAGTTAATGCATCGGGAGACTTCCTTTTCATCTCCACCAAGTTCTACCGTCACATTGCCAGTTCCCATGCAAAATCTGCATCTCTCTGTCGATGAATTATTCATTTCCAAACAAGGCTTTGTAAGTTCATAATACAACCCTCTTGCCATCCACTTGTTTCTAAATATGAATATGCATTTCGACCTAGGAAGAGCTCCTTTCTTGCTTGATAACCACATTTCATATTTTCTTTACTACAAAGTTAACCTAATTTGGAGTTAGAAAAGCTCCCATAGAGATGGTATTCTTTTTTTATAAATTCATGATCATCCCCTTAATTAACCAAGGTGGAATTCCCTCTCAACAATCCTTCCCTCGAACAAAGTACACCATAGAATCTCCCTTAAGACCTATGGAGCCCTTGAGCAACCTTCCCTTAACTGAGGTTCGACTTCTATCTCGTGAGCCCTTGAACAACCTTCCCTTAATTGAGGCTTGACTTCTATCTCTTGAGTCACTTTTTGACTACATCTTCGACGCTCACAACTTCTTTGTTCGACATTTGAGGATTCTATTAATATGGCTAAGTTAAGGGCATGATTTTGTTACCAAGTTAGGAATCACAATCCTCCACAATGTTTTAATATTGTCCACTTTGAGTATAATCTCTCGTGGCTTTACTTTTGGTCACCCAAAAGTTGTCATACCAATGGATATGTATTCCTTACTTATAAATCCATAACCGTCCCAAAATTAACTAAGACTCCCTCTCAACAACCCTGTATTGAGTATTGTATTGAGTATTGAGCAGGTGAGGCTAGTCAACTCAAAAATATGAATAAATTTTATATCAAATGCGACTACTTCACAATTTTAAGTTATACAATCTTATCCTGCTGGTAGCGTTTAAGTTGTATGAAAAATAACTCTGATTGCAGGACCAAAGGAGATACTATTGGAGAAGGACGAGAACAGGGAGGAGGCACACAGGAGAGTTCCCTGGGATACAATTTAGAACGATGGAAACCTACTTCCTAAAATCATTTCATGAAAAGATGAACTCTTGAAGCAGTGAATTAACTTACGTGCTCCCGAACCAGTGCAGGGAAAGCAGGGCTGAGTATTTTCACGCTTTGCCTACAACATAAACACACGGATTATGAGCTGAAAATGAAAGAAAACCCAGTTTATTAGGCATGGATTTAAAGAACAGGAGAATAACGCTTACAGCATTATCAATTTGGGTTTCATAGAAGACCGGAATGCCTATTCCAACTGCCAAACTCGCTAGCCCCACTGAAAGTGCCACCACCTGAGACAAAATGGTACTTCTATCTTCATCTTTACTTCCTTTTCAACCAAGTAGAAAGCATGGAATACTATTTGAATGGAAAATCATGAGAGTAGACGAAGAAGGAACCGTATTTTGGTCAAGATCTATAGCTCTGATGCGTGGATATGATGCTGGCGATCGTTGATTTCTGGAGAAGGTAAGGGATAGAGAGGCAGAAGAAGTCGGCTTGAGAGGACAATACAGAAATGGGGAGTGGAGGCGAGAAAGCGAAGGTGCTACTGTCATTTCTGAATTCCTTGGATTCGATTGCTTTGCTTCTGAGAGCAGCTCCGAATCAGGGAGATAGAAAGAGGGTCTCAGTTCTAATTCCTGAAGAAATACTTGAGGCTGTGGTTTGTTTCATCAAAGCTACAAAGCTTCACCACGCATTTCAGGATTTGGATATCCGTTATTGGCTGCCTTTGTTCTGCTACAGACCCACCACCATCAACAGCCTGCCAGTTGGAATAATCTGCTATCCAAAAAGGAAAGGAAAAAGGCAAAGACTGCTTTGGGCCTTCTTGGTCAGCCCATATAGCCCCAAGGCCTAGTCAGGAATTTCACGGCCCAAGTTCTATAAGCCGGAAATATGGGGGTGGTCCGGACTAGAGAAAATGAAGGTGACGACAAAGCAACCACCAACAGAGATATAATTAGAGGCACATGTGGGAGAAAGAGAAGGAACTTATTGCCAACTACAGCTTCACAAAACGTGAAATCCAAGTTTGAACACATCCTTCCACAAGGCGAGGCCCCCACACCCACCTGTCTTTTCCTTTTCCAGCTATACTACCTCTCCTCTATTCACTACTCCTTTGTTTCTTTCCACTTTAACTTTCTTATGGGCACAAACACACAATTCTAAAGGTAAATGCCATCTCGTTTCAAGCTCTTCTCTTTACTACAGAATGACATCGAGCCAGCCGACTGGGACAACCATACAGAAGCAATCTCCAACCAACAGTGCACCATGTATATGTTTCTTAAATGAAAGCTTTAAATGCAGCAGGTTCATGGACTAATTGGAAAAGAGAACAAGGGCTGAGGTTATGTAATGTGGCCCAATTTTCAGAGACCCAGCCAGGCCCTACAAAATCCAACCCTCCTTCCCACGTGCCCTCTTCGCAGTATCGGATCTTGTGAAGTTGGTGAGATTTCTTTCCCCTTTTATCCTTTCTTTCTTTCTTTTTTCAAGTCATGGGACATGCAATTTTTTACTATACCCATCTGGGACTGGGACTTGGAGCATGGGAGGAACAGTTGAAAAAGTATTGTCTTTTCCTGGGTCCCCCAATTGTTAATTATTTAAAAAGAGAGGGGGGTCGGAACTCTGAAGTATTATTTTATTTGGATTCCTTTGTTAATATCGATCTTCTCTGGGGACGTTCAGTGATATTATTAAAACATTCTGTGTCTCGCCATCGCGTTATCCGTTCATGAGTGCATATACATCTTTAACACTCAATAATTCGCTAAGCTGATTCCCTTCATTTTGCTGGAGATGTGATTCCCTCACCCTGCAGTGACGCTTGTCGGTCACATTCTCAATGTCGGTAAAAACAGTGTTCTGTTTCAGTCATTATTCCCCACCAATTTACGTACTAAAATCCTCGATTTCTTGCAAGGGTTTTCAACAAATGGCACCTAAAGCTAGAGGAACAAGTAGAAAAGGAAAATGCAAAGAGAGCCGTTTGATTCAAATTGGACGGTGATTAAAGGGTGAAGTTTATACCATTAATTGCCCTTTTCTACGCACATCCCAAGGCGTCCCTCTATTTTAATACGACTTTTATTTATGGAACTCAAAAACTGGTTTCATTAGCCAAATCTTCACCGAGCCAAATCCACAATTGGCTTGCTCAAGGATTTCAAACGCCTCATTTGTCTGCAGGCGCGCTCTCTCTCTCTCCCTGTCTCGCTCGCCTTCGTCTCTCCATCCTCATCTTTTTCTCTACTTCTCTGACGCTCCGCCGAGGCATTTTGGCGGCGCCAATCGCTGATTTGTCTCTCCGCCGTCGATCTCGTACTGTCAGTCGACGATTCTCCTCTATCGGCTGCTTCTGAGCGAACTTTTCCGAGTTTTGATTTTCTTTGTATTGTTTGATTCTTTGATTTTTCCTCAAGGTAATAATTATTTGATTCTAATGTCTCTATCGCATTTTCTCTATTGAACCGTAGGATTTATTATGTTTTCCTTCATTTCTGGCATTGAGCTTTACTTAGTCTTCAGATTGCTCGGTTGAGACTTGATATGCTTGATGTTTTGTTTTATTAGGTCTCCCTGGTTATTTTATTCTTGCTTCTTGGTCTTACTGGTCTTAGATGGATAATGTTTAGAGATTTTACTTTATTGTTGGATACTCTTTTCTTTGTGGTTGTTAGCTAGATGGCCACGACGCTTTGTTGCCCCACAATTTGAAGTTTCGAGCACTGTTCCTATTGTTTCTTGTTTGATCGCCATTGATGAAATTAGGTTGTGACTTCATTGTGCAGAAAGCTACAGACGCTGCACTTGGTTTGTAAAGGCCTGCTAATGGCGAACACATACAGCATTTAACGCATTGCATAGGCCGAATTTATCCTCTTATTCTAAGCTTTGTAGATTTTTTTGATTGCTTCCATGATATGAGAGACGTAGTATAAAACTATGTGTGAAGGATGTGCGGCAGTATGTCTAGTATTTTTGTGAATTTCTTAATGAGGAAAGTTGTGGCGTTTTTCTATCGTTCAATTGCTTTGTGCTATCTTTTGTAACTCTGTTAAGTTATCTGTTTTTTTAGTTTCTATAGAAGCGGAAGAACATGTATCATTTGATCAGTGTGCGACATGCAGCAATTATTTATATGGAATAGAACTCTTCAATTTTTTTTATTCCTTATTACTCATGATCTTCTACTTGTTGTAAGATTAGACAATTTTCTCTCTTAGCATCATTGAAATCTATCTATGATACTTCTTATTCAACCATAACTGATGTCTAAATGTTTTAAGGTATTCAAGATGATTGGCTCCTTCCTTACCAGAGGACTTGTGTAAGTCAACTTGATAATCGTTTGCTTGCTTAAGTTAGAAATACAAACTATCCCTACGTATTAATATATATTTTTCAATCTGTTGACAGAATGATTTTTGGCTATGCTTATCCTGCTTATGAGTGTTATAAAACTGTTGAAATGAACAAACCAGAGATTGAGCAACTTCGTTTTTGGTGCCAATACTGGTATGTGATAGAGTTCTTTTGCACCAATTGTCTCCAATACAATCCTAAGCATCGAGGTTGATTGGCTTTCCTTTGGGTTTTCAGGATATTAGTGGCTGTTTTGACAGTTTGTGAGAGGATTGGAGATGCATTCATTTCATGGTAGGGGTTTGATGATGTAGATGGTGTTGTTACGATGACCCTCTGTTTGTGTAAATTGTTTTGTCTGGGACTCAGTTGTTTCCTTATAGTTAGCTGCCCTACTTGCGAATTGTTAATGATATTATTATTATTTTTCATTTGTGCAGGGTTCCAATGTATAGTGAAGCTAAATTGGCATTCTTTATATATCTCTGGTACCCTAAAACAAAGGTAAGGAATCAGAATCTGGTACTTGGGCCTTTCTCTTTCTTCCCCTCCTTAAAGGTCCACCTTCTTTCTAAAATCACTTATCTTCTCCCTAATAACTTTTCATTTTTCAGGGAACAACTTATGTGTATGATTCCTTCTTTAGACCATATGTAGCAAAACATGAGACAGATATTGACCGAAATTTGTTGGAACTAAGGACCAGAGCTGGTGATATGGCTATTATTTACTGGCAGAGAGCTGCAAGCTATGCTCAAACAAGAATATTCGAGATTTTGCAGTATGTTGCTGACCAATCAACAGCAAGGCCTCGCCGGTCTCAGGTATTCGTAGAGAAGTTTAGTTGAATCTGTATTGTCTTAATATTATTCATATTTTTGGTTCTGAAATAGTATTACTTACATCCAAGTGGCATGGAAAAAGTAATGCTGCAATGCTGTTGTCTGTTATATTTACCACTTCTATTTGACCTTATGATTAGAAGTTTCATTGTGAGATCCCACATCGGTTGGAGAGGGAAATGAAACATTCCTTATAAGGGTGTGAAAACCTTTTCTTAAGAGACACATTTTAAAACCGTGAGGTTGACGGCAATACGTAACAAGCCAAAGCGGACAATATCTGCTAGCGGTGGGCTTGGGCTGTTACAAATGGTATCAAAGCTAGACACCGGGTGGTGTGCCAGCGAGAACACTGGCCCCCAAGGGGGGTGGGTTGTGAGATCTCATTTCGGTTGGGAGAGAGGAACGAAACATTTCTTATAAGTGTGTGAAAACCTCATCCTAACATATGCATTTTAAAACCATGAGGTTGATGACAATACGTAACGGGCCAAAGCGGACAATATTTGCTAGCGGTGGGCTTAGGTTGTTACATTCACCTAGGCATGAGATTTGCAACGTATAAAGATTTCTATCATCCTATTCTCTCCAGGCCCGGAGTGTGGCATGTGACAAATAACTTTCCAGCAATACCTGCTTTTAACTTGTTAGATTGTTTTTTTTCTTTGGAATCTAGTGAAGAATGCTCTGTAAAGAAAGCAGTAAAGCATTTTCTTCAAGAATCGCTTTCATTGCATGCATATCTGATATTTGTTAGAAAATAGTCTGACATTTTTGGCGCTTATCTCCGACTTATTTCTCTAAAATTGCAGCAACAGCAAGGGTCAAAGGTTCCACCGAACAATGTTCTACCAAAACACCCGGCAACCACTGAAAATCAAGTGCAAATTGATCCAACATCATCTACATCTCAACAACAAAAAGATGTAGCTGAAGAGGTGGGTGTGTCACAAGTTTCAAAACTAAAAACCACATTTGAAGTTCTTAATACTCAGAAAGTGCCAAAATTGACAACCACAGTCGAAGTTCCTAGTACTTCTAAAGGGTTGAAACCATCAACCTCAGTTGAAGCTCCTCCTAATACTCCGAAAGGGTTGAAACCATCAAACTCGATTGAAGTTCCTATTACTCAAAAAGCAGTTGCAGCATCTGAACCAGCTCTAGCCAGCAGCAACCTATCTTTACCATCTGAAATGGAGCCAATGGAGATCGAAACAGTGTCACGTCCAGTGCACGAGAACGAAATTCCTCCCCTTAAAGAGACTGTAATGGAAGACTCCACAATTGTAACTCGCGCGAGATTGAGAAAGACCCGTTCAGGTGCTGCTAATAGCTGAAAAGTGGCCCAATGTTTCTAAATCTCAGTTTCCCTCTTAGCCCGTACACAGTAGATGAAACAATGATGAGGATTGAGTTGCCAATCCTGGCATTCATGTAAATTTGTTGTTTCTATTTCAATTTTACTCTTTTTTTGGACGGTAACCGATGGGGTCTAGTGGTA